TCTCCAAAATTGGCCTAATCATTTAGGAGCGGTCGGCAAAAAAATGAAATTAAAACTGCAATAAAACACATATAAATTTCGTTTCCCATTTTACCATTTGGAGGATCGGTGGTATTCCTGTCTGAGCTGAGGAATACTCAAAACGACTTGAAAGTGAGTTCAATGTTTTACCCGGTGAGTGTTCATTTCTCTAAACAGGCCACCACCGTAAAGTCAACTACCGAGTTCCCACTTTGTACAGTGTGTACTGCCTGGATATGATGTCGAACGTTTCTACTGAATTTTCTGCTCGAATGTTTTGTTTTTACTTCCCTGTGACAACTTCAAGGTGTTTGTAGTCTTGTTACAATTTACTGAGGGTTACTCATGCCAACTCCGCGATTATAAGACTCTGTAACAATCACATTGCTTAGCCTTCAAAACTCTCCCGATTTTACGATGGATTTCCCCGTGGTAACGCCTTTTATTTATTTGTACATGTAGTGTATATTGGGAGGTCAAAGTGCACACTCGATGAATGAAATTAATAACTAATAAGTAGTAGGCGGCCACTTGAAATGATGGAGTGGTTTCTCGTGCTGCAGCCAAAAATACTCTCCGTATGTCGGGTCTGTTTTTTCAAGTGCTCCAATTAAGCCCACTACTGTTAGAGTGCATATCGTGTGACCTAAGTCGCACGGCAAAGTGGTGATTCATCATCACCAACTTTGAAGTTTTTCTGGTCACCTTAAAAAATTACGAATATTTTTGTAGCATTTTTTTGCTCGTTACATTCCCAACCCGTACCGCATGCTTAGGGCGGCAACAAGCAAAGATTTTGATTAATGACCTCGCATTGCGTGCATTCCAATTCGATATGTGTTACTTTCTGAGAGCACTTAAGAAGTGAAGAGTTTACCCTAATTTCTAAATTATTGTTGATATTTAACGACGAAAATTACAGATGCGTATAGTTCATTGTCATCGTAATAACAAGCGCCATTGTGTCCCTTCTGTAACATTAGGAAAAGTGGCTTTCACAATGAAGGAATAATCCAAGCTGTGTTCGTTACTGATACTGCTCGTGTAAAAGGCTTTTCTGAGTCCCTGTCAAATTCAGTCCAGCTAAAATGGCTGACAATAGCTGGATGTTGCCGCCGAAGCTTCGATACAAGCAGCGCAAATTCGGTTGCAAAGAAGCGGAGATGCTGATGATGTGCAACAACCGTTCCCAGGAAGCCGAGTTGCAGAGGCGCCACCAGCGACTGAACGTGGCCCTCCAGAACTTCTTGCGCAAGTACCGCCGCGAGGTCTGGGAGGTGCGACACTTCCTTCGCAACATCGGCCGCATCGAGCGGCAGAACCGGGTCCTCCTTCCCACCGAGAAATACGAGGAGGAGATCTTCAACGCCAAGCTGAGGGCCCACAACCTGAGGAAGAAGAAGCGGCAGGAGCGCCAGCAGGCAGAGGAGCGCGCCTACCCACACGAGGCCTCCACCGACGAGGAGGCTGCCCACTCCCGCCTCGCCGACATGATGGACCGGTCTCTCAGCCTAACAGCGTCAACCCTCAACCCCCGGAAGAAGTCAGCGGTCCCATCCGAAGATACCGAGGAGGAATCAGAGCCATCTTCACCTGAGCCCATTAGAGGACCTCACCGGAAAGGGTCAACTTCTACCGGTAAAAAGAAACTACGCAAAGGGTCCGATTCCGGGAGTAAGATGGTAAACACGGTATCTCCAGGAGTGATGCGCACACCGACCGGACTGGACCCCATTGTGGAAGACGAACGACCACGCCCTCGAAAAAGCCAGACCATTAAGGAACATCTCACTCTGACGTTATCTGAAACTTCTCAAGGAGACAGGGATCTGGTCTCGATTGTGCCATTGACAGGCCTGAAGGAGACTGCCACATGTACCTTGATCCGAGAAACCCACAAGGTGGTACGCTTACCTAAAATTGACACGGGTGAAATGTCTACCATTGGAATTTCCTAAACCACTACCTCCATTGCCCATAACAGAAATGCACCGTTAAGTGGCCTAAATATTTTATACCAGTTTTTTTAACATTGTCCCAGTTGACACCGCACTTATTTCTGCGCTTATCTATCGTCAATCACTGTACTGTTGACGTATACGAGGTGTCTGCACAACTTCAGCCCTAAACGTCATGCAATAGAAAATAACGCAGTCCTTGTAAAAATATCTTCGTGTTCCAGTAGATCCTGTTTTCATTTCATTTTAAGGGCATTTTGTGTTTTAGAGTTCATTAACATTTGCATATTTTACGAGCAGAAGTTTCACAGTTGTGTCATTCCAGGAAGGAAAATTACAGTTATTTTAACCAAAATCACAAGAATTATACATTATTACATATGGTCTTATATTTTCTTGTGTTTGGTGCTTAGTTGCTTCGGTTCATGACAATTTGCCAACGTTTTCTGACAAATGTTTTCAAAGAAAGAATATTTTGCTCAGAGTGTTAACAGAATCCCCATGATAAACAACGTCTGCCTTCCTAAAATGACATCAGCACAACTGCACCCTATTTTGTCAAAAGTATTTTTCGAAAGTGCACTTTTTAAACTATCAAATTATCCATAATTTTTTGGAAAACTGAGAGCACTGTTGTCATATTCCAGGGCATGGGCTTTTCTGTTTAATTGAGTATTGTTTAATTAAGAATATAGAATTTACTCACTGAAAAACTTATATGAGAAAGGTCTGACTGATTTCTTATTGTTAGATACCCAAACAGCAAATAGGTACCTAAAGAAGAAAAAAATATTTTAGCAAAATCTAAAAATAATCATGCTGGGGATTTTTCAACTTCAACTTCAATTTCAACATTGAAGCCTTCTTCCTGAGATGACATCACTGTTTTTCTTATAAATATGGAAATACTCATTTCCCCAAAACACCAAAGAGGCTGTGAAATGCCCTTTGGAATAGAAAAAAAATAAATAAAAGACGATGTTAAATGACATACAAGGTGCACATTGAAGGTTTGTATTAAAAAATTCCATTGCAGCTGCCCTTGAAGTCTATACATTTCGATGCGACTGTAGAGCAATGTGGCTGTCCTTGCTAATGAAGGAAAACATCACAGATGACTAACAGCAATAACCCATTCAGTAACACTGTAAGCAATAACCCATTCAGTAACACTATACGCAATCACCCATTCAGTAACACTATACGCAATCACCCATTCAGTAACACTATATAATTTGTTTTTATTTTGTTTAAAGGGATAGTATCAACTGCAGTCCTGAACGACATTAAAATGCATTTTGCAATGAGTGATTTAATTTATTTTACATTCCCCAGCTGAAAAAAATGTCTTTTATTTTTTTTTCTAAAATTATATTTCCGTCTTCTACCCCCGCGGCTTTAAATTTAGATACGCCACCGTCAAACTGTATTACGATATCTAACTATAATGAGGTAACCCACTTTTCCTTGTCGGCCCTTAAAGGGTAGCTGCAGTATGTTTTGATGCGAACCTTCAAACTTCACTTTTGTGTCTCATTTAATCTTATGTGTAACGTTTGTTTCAGTATGCCAAAGGGTATTTTATGGCCTTCTCGGTTTTTATGTTAATGTATTTCCATATTCATGACGTCAACCCAGGAAGAGAGCCAAGGCTGTAAATTCTGCACTGAACTATAATTATCTTCCCTGGATACACCGTCTGTTGTCCAGGAAAGAATTGGTAATTTTGAAAATTTAAAAGTGCAGTTTTCAATGCATGTGGCAAAATAGGGTTGTAAAATAGTTTTCATACATTGAAAAAGAGTACAAAGTCGCAGAAAAATTGTGTCGAAAAAATTCATCTCACCTTCATTATAAAAGCAACACCAAAGGCCCACAGCCGTCAAACATACACTACTGCAAAGGACAAGCTTCTTAGTAGTATTTTTACCCAGAAATTGACTGAGCACTAGCTATAATCAATACGAGCGATTCACAACAGTGCGCCTCCACGCGTTGGCTAATCATAAGGCGCGAAATCTGTCGACCCTTTCCAAACGCGCATTGGGCCGACAGATTTCGCGCCTTGTGATTGGGTCAACGCGCCGCAAACTCTTGGAGGCACGCAATTGTGAAACACCCGTATTACCTTGTGCAACGTCACAGTGAAAGTTAACTCTGTCAGATTTTCTTTGGAATGTTATTACATGATTTCTGTAATAAGGTGTATCGCCTCTGAGTGAGCTGATTCTCCAAGGTTTGAATCGGTGCTGATGTTAATGGTGAATATCCTGACTTCGTGCGCGACCTAGTGGGTCACATCACCCAGTTACAGTACTATAACTTGTGATTGGAGGAGACACTAACAGGAAATGAATTGGTCCTTTTTAACGCTTGACCCAACATGGGAATTCCTTTTTAATATTGTAGACAAGAAATACCCAGCTGTCACATTACAACGCTGCTCAAATGCGGCGACTTTTTGGCTGGAATACTGAAGAACAATGGCCACTGCATATTAATATCATTTGTAGCTTTTGTGCCTTTTAAGCTGAAAAAAACGAAAAAATACGTCAATAGGTACACTGTTATCGCGTTTGTGAAAATGCCAGAAAGGTTCCATTTAATTGATAATTTCTTGTCATTCTAAAAACCCCGACTGTTGTTTTGTTTTGCTTTTCAATGCTTCAAACCCTGCAATCCCCACAGTGAAAACTCCTTAGAATTGTCATTGCATGTTATGCGCAGTGAAGAAACTGTATAAGCATAGCATATGGATGTATTTCTCAAAAAATATTAGGCCTACATAGGGCCTCCATTTACTGTAAGTTATTGCGTCGCCTGTTCATGTTTAAATAATCGTTTTAGAAGTATATTTTCCCGACTAGCATTTTCACACCCAACTGAAGCAGTTGTATTTATCCTTGTTAAGCAAGCACGTAGCAAATGTCAAAACACAAACGACCAAAGGCTAGCATGATATTTCTTCCATCGCTTTTGGTAATTACTGTTGTCTGCAAGTGAGCGCATACACACGATGCACTGTGCGGTCCTTCATTGCTTGCCGGACAGACAACCTCGCGACACCGCATCACGTACAGTAAACGCCTATATGTCATACCATTATCATTCCAGGCTTTGTGTCGAGACACAGACCCGCTGCCTGTCGCTGTCATTACGAATGTAAATTAAAACACGAGGAAATTGATATGAACGCGCGCTGAATCAGCGAGGAAAACGTAGGGAGGGAAATTATAGTTGCCGTCAGTACGGAGGACGGGAAGAGTTCATCCTCGTCGGACAACATAATGCTGTCCCGTCTCCCTTGAGATACGCCCAGCGTCCCAGGTCTGCATCTTGTGCGAGTTTATGATGTGAGTGCGTCTTGTATCTGTATCATCTCCGTATTGTGGTTCAGCCCGGCGTTACAATGGCGGAAGGAGTTCGGGAGGAGGTGAGATATTCTCGGTCGACGGTACGGGCGACGTGCTGTCATCGCCCGCTGCTCATCGTTGGACTTGCCTGGGGAGTGCTGACGGCTATCGGTAAGGATCGGACGATGATATCATGCCAGACAAATCCCGGTGACTCGAAGAGAGGTGACAGCGAAGAGATTGATGGGGTTGATTTAGCTCGAGAATTGTCATGCTTTGCTTGTTGCTGCATTGCCCATAGAGATTACTCGTCGAAAAACTTGTAACTGAAGCTGCAGAGGTTAAATTTGTTAAATTTTTTTTATTCAAGGTTGATATCTTTAAAATATTATCATCTTTAAAAAAAATTCAAGGGCGGATTAGGCGCTTGGGAACATTTCTGTCCCGCACTGTTTTCAAATTTTAATATCACTCCTGGTTTTTTAAAAGCTGGTTTGTAAAACTGTACTGATATGCTCCGATGTTTTCGTGTAATTTGGCAAGTAGTCCGTGCCTGCTATAAATACGCCTATTATGGGAGACCTTTTGTTCGTTGAATAATGTTCACATGCAGACTGGTATTTTAGTGCCGCCACGGCGCGCATCGTTAATTGCCAGCTCAGCACAGTGAATCATATCTGTTGCCAAACGACGGAGAGCGTGCTAATGGCCGGTGTTTTCAACGACACTGGCGCATTACTGGCGTGCATGCTCAAGCCAAGCGGCTTTTTTCATCGCGCATCAGAAATGCAAGCGTGACGTATACAGGCTGCTGTACTTCAGTAATTTTTCGGATGTTTTATTATAATCTGGTTTATAGGAGTGGTCCCATTTACATGTACAGGAATAAATTCGCATGAAGAAAGTTAAAGTTCTAGACACAATACGCAAACAGGACATGACAAAGGGTTTTGCTCGTTAAAAGGGTCACATAATCATGCTTTAGGAGGAGGCCTACATTTTGTTAAAAATAAAAGGTTTGCGGTAGCACATGCAAAGATATCTCCCTTTTGAGTGTGTGTGGTTCTGAAAAAAACCGGAGGGTATACTCAACGTTTCGAACAGTATGCTCTGTCCGAGACGGTTAAAACTCAAAGAAAGTGTTATTTTTCATATTTAGGCTTACTTGCTGTTGGAATTCACACGCTTGTTACGTCAACGCTGTTCTGGATTGGCATCTACCTTGTGTAAGTACATTGGAAAAGGATCCTTTGACAATATATTTGAATGTTTGAGGATAACATCATGTCCCAGGGTTCTAGCATCATTACAAGTGTATACAGGTTTCAGGTCCAAGGGGAGGGACGGAACATGACTGACCAACTTGGAATGTTTTCATCCGTAAAAATCCTCTTCTATTTGATCTTATTTTCCGTATGTCCACAGGATCGTGGGAGGGATTGTTGCGTTGCTTGAGATCGGCCTGATCTTTGCTCAATGCGGATGTTGCAGGTACTACAGAATGACTTTCAAAATGACTGCAAGGCGGCTAACGTTGTGGCTGATGCATGGTTTCTAGTGAAAACTACAGCAAATCCAAATACTTCGATTTTATTGAAATGTGCCTGTCATAAGATAATGAATTATTGTGGCAGAATGTCTTTTCAGGAATGGAGGTTCTAATTCAATTTCACTTTTCCAGATTTGGCCTGATTTGATAGGTTAACAATAGCCAAACAACAAGAAATTTTAATGGGGAGTTTAATAGGATTGTATAATGAGACAAGTTTGAGGTTTTTGTCTGAGCAGAGGTGGGATGAGGTTGTAGTTGTACGCGGGGGATAGAGGCTCCAAATGGGGGTCCGTCCCCCCCCCGCTTTTCCCGTTTAGCTAGGCCTATACGTCGTTGGATATCCAAATTGTATGGCTGTGTCTGAATTACTTGGTTGTGGCTTGAAATTGCGTACGAATCTATGGGTGTGGCTATAGCCACTTCCCACAGAGTGGTGTGTATAATTTTAAGCCGTAGCCATACAAGTAATTCAAACATCTGTCTTTGCCCCCATTTCATCTTTTTGCACGAGTGAGCTTGAAAATCAACAAGCAATTCATTAGATGGTCCTGTCTCCGTCGTTCACAGAGATAACGGATGCTGCCAGAAATTCGGTCGGCCCATCCGTTGGTTTGACACCTGGAAGCGTGGCTGTCTGTACGTGCTTTTTGGCATCGTGTGCTTCGTCGGTGTGTTTCGGATCACCTTAGGAATCATCTGCGGTGAGATCCAAATTTCTGTGACTTTTTAAAAAAATTAATTCAGTCTGTTTTTGATAGGGTGTAACAAGAATATGCTGAGCTATGTAGACGTCTTAATGTTTTGAGCTTTAGAAGTAGGAGACTTTTGGGAATGTGGGAATATTTCTTAGAATCTCAAGAAAGTTGTAGAATCACGAGAAAGATATCTCTTTGTAAGAACGGCAGAAGAGTGTAAAATTCGACACAAAGCTGTACAAATATATGGATAGCAGGGTTAAGGTTGGCCCCAAATGGGTTCCAAAATTATTCAGGAGTAAATAACTCACTTTTTTGTTCAGACCATCTCACAGCCGGTAGAGGGCAGGCTCCGTCCCCGTCCAAAACCTCGGCTGTCAAATGCCCAATCTTGCTCCAACTTAAATGTCACTAAAACGTTCATTACAAGTACATTTTGTGAAGTTTCAATTCAATTCAAGATGGGATTGTGTATTTAACACCATCACGCGAGTTGGACTCGGTGTACTGTGCACATGCCAACAAAAAAACGTTTACATTTTGGGTGGACCTGTCTCGGAAAATGAGCATTTGGCGAAAACGGTACATGTTTATCCATTACAATGTACACGGAAACTCTCGATGAGAAAAAAGTATACCTGGTGAAGATGCCGAAGGGAATGGATATTGCCAGGACCCCCCCCCAGGAATCACTGATCAGCCATGAAAAGATGAATCATTTAACATTGAGAGGGGGTAAATTTTGATTTTTAAAGCAATTTGGTGATTTTAATCTCCTTCCTTCTTCTTTTTTTTCATTTCCTTCGTATTTCCCCCTTTCCCGTGTATTCCTGGGGCAGCACCAGCCTGCCCCTGCCACACCCGTACCTATGCCGGAGGGGCTTTCGCCCCGGCACTTGTGAGGGAATAAGTGGCATTGAAACATGAAAACTGACTCCGACGTATAAGAAGGGATTTGTGTTGCCAAAAACTCTCCCTGTTTTTTTCTGATTTCCCCTTATTAGGCGTAATGCTCGTTATGGGGGGAATCGTCTACATCCTGAAGACATGCAAAGACCGTCCGCTGTCCAAGACAAAGCGAGGAGACAGTGACCGGAAGCAGCTAGCCGAAGAATTCATGGAAGAGCAACGGGCGTGAATGCGACGAGCCCAGGTCCTTACGCTCGTCCATTGATGTCATTACAAAGGCAAAAAGATCGGTTCTACTCTGCCTTTCTCGTGTAAAATACCCTGATGATGTCCTTTGATTCGTACAATTTTGAAATCAAGTTTTCTGCCATGCAAGCTCAGCCTTCAATTATGAAGGCAAGACTGAGTGCAAATCTTATTGCCTTATTTTGCCTGTATACCTGGTGTTCTGGATGAAGTTGACTGAGGGTGCTCAGAATGTTGCAAAATGCCCCCGAGGCATATTAACCTTTGAAAGTCAAATTTCCAGATAAGTTCTAGGCGTTTGAATATTATTATTGTGAAAAAACGCACACGGACCGGCCTTTAAATGGTGTCGTTCTGGATATTTTGTTATATCATTTAATAGCTGAACATGCTGTAAAAAGTCTAGGAAATCACTTGTTGGGAGGTAGAGGCCTTCTTCAATGTATATTCTTACCTTTATAAGTTGATCATATTGGCCTAGAATCATACACACTTCCTGCAAACGCATGCGTCCGAGTCGCGAGCATTACCAACAGGTTATGAATCGTACAAAACGACGGTAAGAATTCTTGCAGTTTTAGATTTGTGTCGCAAAAACAACTTTTACATATTTGGATGATGTTTTTGGACTCTTGTTGGCTATTGTAGGTCTTGCGGAAACCCTATCGTCTCGATTTGTAATTTAGAGCTGGCATCAAAAGTAGTTACGGTGCGAGAAAAGTGTTGTAAAAGCTTTCGTAAGTTATGGTGATTTTCACAACTCGTTTACAAGTATATCGTCATTGCTTCAGCATTTGTATGTACATATATAAATTGACAATTATGAATGGATATCGCTGGTTGTGATTTTTTTTTTTACCAAAAGTGAAAGATCTGTCAAGCACACATTATAAAATCGATCGCTTCTAGCTACTGCCCTGGACCAAAAACAAGTAACGCACAATGTATAGCGCCCTCCTCCGGTAGACAGTATAAATTATAATCATGTCCTCAAGGCTGTAACTATTTTGTACATGTCAAACGATATGTTGAGGTTAACGTCGAATACCCCACGTGTTCCTTGTGTGCACGTTGCTATTGCAACCAACTAAGACACAGGATCTACTAAGTTCCCATGTGTACAAGATGTTAGCAGCGTCCTGTTCAAGAATGTTCCCTTTCCGACTAGGCCTATAAACAAAGTGGGCTCGCACGTACACAGATGGCTCTATGATCTATCATTAATCCAAAACACTCAGTAGACTGACTGAGATTGTCAAAC